AAATCTCGGCAATTAGTATAATGATATCTATGAATCGTTTGTTTAAATGTTAAATTACTGTTTTAACAATAGTTATTAAACATTACTTCGAACTTCGATTTAATCAGAATATGGGTCGGCCGATTATTGAATCTACATTCCTCAAGAAATTATTTCATAATGACAAATACTTAGTTTTATATATTGATTTGATTCTGATATTGTCTCGAAATAAATATCTAACAAATTATTATATTGCTGCGTTTAAATATTACAAATATTCTAACGTAGGCGAAAAAAAACACGATGCTTTCCAATTTCGCCCCACATTCCTACACGCGTGTTTATTTTATTAAACCATTTCAACTGGCTCCGAAGTCCGAGCGCGTATCAAAATAAAGTGCAACATTTAAAAATAAAATGTTTATTATTTAGGTCAACATTTCGAGTTTCGTCACAATCACAATATCTCTATGATACGAGAGAAGTGAACGTATCAGATCAAACACTTAGTTCCGCATAGTCGCATTTTATTCTTTGTTATTCGGATTATTTACATTATAATCGACGCTCATGTTTATACAATAATCGATTTCATATTTACGCATCAGCTACATTTCCTTTACTACAAAAAATAAAGAATAATTTTGATTTAATGAGCACTAGCTTCAAGTTTGTTTTTTAACATTCATCAAATACTTCCTAGTAAATCAATCTTGTGACAAGGCAGGCAAGGTGTGTCTAGGTCATAATAACTAGTAGGTATGTAGCATTATATAGGTACAATAGAGATATATTTAGAACCGTAAGCAGCACTTCGTGGTACGATCACGCTCCTTTCACCTATTGAGCTCCCATAGTTCACGTAAAGCACGAACGAGGCCAAAGGTGAATTACGTTAATATCAGCCGATTTACGAACTATTAAGTTGTTTTTTGATATTATTTCATATTATAACGACATTAACGACATGACGATGTACATAATAAAGATTATTATCACTAATTTATGTATCTGCTTACGTAAATTTTAATAATAACAAGGTATAGACAACATTTTATCAGCAATTGTGCAGAAAAATGTACATAGTTTTTTATCCAAGTTAAGTACCTAAAATTTTCCAGACAATGAACCCTTTTCCGACGACATTAAAAAATTCTTAGCTATAATTTCATTGCAGGTTACCCACACAAACGACTGTGACATCCAGAAAAGATAAACAAAGAAGGGAATGTCTGACTGAAGCAGGTGTTCACAATGCTCAACAGTAAACAGTTCGTCGCTTTGGAAATTATCCAAGTTCACTATACATAGCTGGTTGAGTTCGTCCTTCGGGAGAATTTAAGTCCAAAACCAAACAATGTACGGCAAACCAAATGGAATTTTCAAGACCTCTTTTGTTTTTTGAGTGGTACGAGTAAACTCCTATGCAAATAGTTGTTGAAGTTGGAAGACTTGTGCCGTGCAGAGGGCTCTACAAATTTGATTGTTGATAAAACTAGGGTTGACGACCTGTGCGCACGACTGCCTATTATTTGATCAATTCGTTTTGACGTCACGTCATTGATGACAACATCATCACAGGTATCTCAATATTTACATATAACCAAATGATAAATAATACATTTTAAAGTGGTTTATTCATGAACCAATTTATATGTAAACCTTTTATTCTTAATTAACTTTGGGTATAGGTTACATTACGTACATTGATGGATTGGACTGTTCTTTAGTTATAAGCCAAGCCAAAACAAAAAAATATTGCAAAATTTAACTGAATTCGAAGCTCAATTGTACAACGAAATTGTTTCGGAAGTTATTTTCAATATTGACTTGGGAGTTAGCTAAACAAACATTACAAGACAATGCCTCCCTAGTGAATTCCCAAATACGTAAAGTTAAATACTTGGAATTTCATTAAACTCTGTGACGCCGCAACACAAACACCCAAGACGGTTGGGAACATTCACAAAACCGTACATTTTGGCTTAACAACTATCGACTAAGCGTGCCTTACTGATGATTTCAGACAACATTCTGCTTAATTAAATTTGGAGCACGAACTAACGAATTAAAAATAAAAAGGATGGATTTTGTACACATACGGGTGCAATCGGGGGCCCGCTGAGGAAACTACGGCCCATATAGATAACAACCGCGACAGGGCAAACACCACAATATTTACCTAACTACCACCTAAATATGTACCACATTGTCGCTGTGTAGCACACAATAGGGCATTTGCGTATATTGTGGCTCGTAGGAAACTTTATTATATTAATTTATCCCTATTACCACAGCTATTATACAACATACCTACGCTAATGCTAATGAGTACCGATAGTGTGTAATCGATATGAGACTTCCTATTTTTTATATTGTACCTAGTTATTATTGCAGTTTGTATTAATTAGTCGGTGGCTTTGTTTAGCCTGAGTTTAATCTGTCAAACACCAAGCGGTCACCGGTGACCGCGACCTATTGTTCTTTAATTGTGTCTATAAAACCGGTACTCGACGAGTTAATATAGGAAGGATACATACTTACCATACCTACCTATCTTTTGCTCGCGAAATTAGAATCGGCAAAGACGGTTTAATTTTTTGATGATAGTTAAATCAGAACGCCATGTAGTTATTTTTACACTTGTAGTTTATTCAATTTACGTATAGAAGTATAAACATGTACATATCTGTTTATATGGTAGTAACTTTGTATGTGTGTTCACAGGAATAATTATGTATTTAAACCTGCATACATAACACCTTTACAGCTTCCGCAAACAAATAGATAGGTACTTACTACTTACCTACCAAATAATTATAGCAATACTTTCCTGTTACAGATAGAAAATAACTTTGCAATCAAACACTAGCTTGGAACATGGTAATACTAAGTAATACCTACATACCTAATAGTAATTAATAATTATTATTTATCAGGCGCTTACGTGGTAAGTACCTACCCATTGATAGCTTCAATGTAGCTATTGCCCAAAATAAATAATTTTCAACAACCTTAACAATGGTATGAGGAAGACGAAGACCTACTTTTACAGCTCCGTTTCCGAAAAGGTAACAGTGCAGTCTCACGCAGCTATATCAGTCACCTCGACGGCTACGCACGACGCGGCTCACATCGGGTACGGAATAACAATCGAACCGTGGGAAACTGCCGCTAAGCGCCACAATTATGAAACGCCTACAGCCCAATCCAACTGAGGATGTTTTATCCATAGCCAAATAACTTTACTAACTTGTAGCCCCCCGTCGTGTGAATTGGTAACGGTTGTTGCGTCATGAACGCCGCGGCCGATTCGCCCGACGCTGACATTTTAGAGCTCTCAAATTAGAGATGTAACTATTGTGTAATTTGTGAGTGTATAATTTTTAGCACAATAGAAATATTTGGATTTATGCACCAGGAATGAATAAGCAATGAGGACTCAAAAACATAACGCATCTAAACTGGCTTTTACAAATATAATCTCTGTGCTATTGTAACCAAGTGCAGTGTTTAGGTGAACCAGTTTATTAATGTTAATTCTGTACCAGCTTTACGGTTTATACTTATCGTTACTTTAATTAGTAATCATAATCTTAAAATATTACAAAATATGAGGCTTTTGAAGAAGCAAACACATAAACCGGAATAAGTACAATGAGCGCTAATGAAAATATTATAACTAGGTGGCCCGTTACATTACAAAAAAAATCATCAGGTACACCTACTTGAAATTACAGAGTTGAATGAAAATGCAATTAAGTAGGTATACCTACTTCACATCAAATGAACAATGGTAATATGTAATTTGTTTTAATGGATTTAACCTAAAATATGAACTAAGTCCTTACATTTTTGAACTTAGATATTTTTAATTTCTTTTTACAACATCATTTCAAATGCATACCTGTAATGTAAGTTTGCATAAGAACTTCTTACATGTTCGAATATATACTGTGTTCTAATAGGAAGCTATGTTGAAGCTAGGAAGAAAGTAATTAGTATTCTAAGAAATAAGCACCATATACCTAGTCTAGTATAATATACATAACATTTGTGTATGGTACATTATTGATCAATAGAATCTAGTTAGAAACATAATACCTACTAACTTTTTTTAAACAGGTTATTTAAGATAGAAGGTCTACTAATACTAAATTAATTGCTGCTGTATCCTGTTCTCATAAACATTTTACAAAATTCCAATTTTAAATAGTAATCAACTTTTGTGTATTTTAAGTAATGTTTTTTATCCAATAAGAAACCTTAATTCAAATGTTACTTTAACAAAAAAAGTTAAACATTAAAAAAGAAGTTATAAAACCTCTTTCTAAAATAGTACCTAAGTATATTTGTTAAACCAGTATAGAACATAATATTTAAAATAATATGAGGTCAGCGAGTTCACTCATAAGTGTCATGCATGAAAAAACCGGTCATGAATGAATATTTAATCATATGCTACATACCTACCTATTTTACAAAAACAAGAAGTTTAATTCTACGTAATCAATTATTTTGACTTGTAGAACACTTAATATTCTGAAAAGTCTCTACTTGTAATGTAATTTAAATTATATTGTGTTCAAACTAGTTTCATGCAAGCAATCTTCAATATGACTCAGAATTTTAACAATTACTTGAGTCTAGTAACAAGTTTAATGTAAATATAGCATATTAAAAGACACATTACGTATGCATGCATCACAAGAGGATTATGACAAGGAATTATCATTTCCTTTTTCTAATCTAACTTATAATTAATTCCTAGATAAAGATAAGCGACTTAAACACAGTTATCACCAACGGCAAATATTTTTATAACCACAAGTGCCAAAGTAGGTAATTTCAATGAAGTTAATCGCATATTTTATGGTAATTAACTCGGCTATATTTTTTTGTTTTAAAAGTTTTAAGTTTACAACTTATTGTAAAAGTATCACATTATTTTCGTATTCTTACAAAAGATAACAAAGAAGATTATCAAGCTACACAAATACAATTAAAAAGATACTCACCTCACTGAAGGCCATTACTCCGGCCGGAGCTCTTTCTCCGTCCGACCTTCTCAATTTATTTTATCACGGTCTATCAAAACAAATAGTTCACGCTTTTGTTTCCCAACATTGGAAACAGTCCCGACATCTAGCATCCCCACGGCACAAATACATCTGAACTATGAACTTAACTCACTGCGCAAGAACAAAATTTTAATTTTGACTAAAACGAAAACACCTGACCGAATCACAAATCACTGAAAAAACCAACATTCCTCAGGTGGGTTAGATGCACACTAACTAAAATACGAACACTTTACAGTACAGAAAACACTTTAACACTACTTAGAGAATTTTTCACTATTGTTTGATTTGCCAGACCATTACGAAATAAGTTCGAAAAATGACATCTAATGTGTGAATTATCACAGAGAACCATCAAACGGAGATGAACTCGCCATCTTGCTTTCATGTCATAATCAGTGTTGCCAAACTTCAAAATCAATACCGTTGTGTACCGTCATTGCATGTTAGGCAACATAAGAAAGAATAAAGTGAAGTTAGCTGCAAATTGAATAAAATATGTTTGAATCGTAAAATATTGGTTTTTTACTTCAGAAATATTGTACACAAAATAAACCATTATTTTATAAATTGTTGCAGTATAATTATTGTTTTCCTCGTTTTCCTGTGCAAAAACATTTTAAAAATCATTTGGTGCTGCCACCTGGTAGAGACAGACAGAAGTAAATGACACGGTACGGTTAGCAGGAAGTTCTAATTTTTTTGGAAAAGTTTTTCTTTCTAAACGGGTTAAAGAAGTACTTGAAATTTTCATTAAAGTAAAACTTCGTAGCTAGCAGACAATATGTACGTGCACTGTATAGTACTACGATGAATCTAAAAATAATGTCTTTACTCAGTCATTATCTAAACATCTAAGTTTTGCTATTGTCTTTCGATGACTGCATGAAATGCTTGACATATCGGGAATAATAGGTAATCTTGCATAATACTCCATAACATTTGTCTAAAGTTACATTAGGTAGGTAAATAACATACTTATAATTCACATTATAATATGTGATTGTGTCGTAGTGTAGCTATAACTAAAACTTACTACCTAACAACCTTCGGTCTAGTGATATACTTTACGTGCGTACGTACAAACCTATCTATCTAAACGTCACCGTAGGTACTAATCGTAGCAGAATTAGCGATAATAAAAGAGCTATAGTAATTTCTTAATTTGCTCTATATAAACAGTACGAATTTCTTTACAACTGCTGAACACGCGACGTTTAATTACTTTACAATTCAATTAGCAGATTTAGCTAAGGTAGGTAGGTGTTATTGTTTTAGTTATTAAAATAACGATTTTATTTGCAACAAAGTGCGAATTTTTTGTTTTGGTTTAGTCATTCATGAGCTATTTAACCGTATATATGATACTATACCTTATCCATGAATTAAATTTTAGAACCTCTTAGAATTGTTATATCAAAGGGTCTCAAAAAGTCAAAAGTTCCATTATTGATTAGAAAAGGTACGGTAATTTCTAATTCCCGTCGGATGCGTAGCCTTTCTATGGCATCTATGGTAGTGAGTACAGTTACAACTTACAACGCCTGTGAAGTATGCAGTGGGTTGTGGGTAGGACTGGTCAGCGGCTTACTCCAGCTGGTTTTGTCAACGATCTGAATCTTTTGCCAGTATTCTAGTATCCATAGTATTCTGTAAATTACAAAATGCTCAAAATGCTTTTGAGGATAAGGTGCCATTTCTAGCATTCGTGTATTCTCGTGTGTGTCGGGCTTTATATTTATATACCATAATAATAATTTATTAACGATACCAACCTTATTGCTTTACAAAGATTTTAATTTTTTTATCTGTATACAACGTCTGACGTCCAAAAAAGACTCATAAACGCCATGAGCAAAGGAAAGATATTTTAATTTTTTATAATATATTTAGATTTAGATCATGACTAATATCTGACGAAATTGAAAATGTTAAAATTATAAATTTACCGTTTATCTTGATTACAAAAACATCAACTCTTTAATGTACGAAGGCTCGTTTTTAACCTAGTTTTCTGAGCACTGGCCTGATAACAGAAGGTAAGAGTAATTTGGGTTTATTAATTTCCGTGTAACTACATTATGCACGATTTCCCAAGGAGGTAGGTACTTTATGACGTCATTCGCACAGGTGCCAGGCGGGGATGTGCACGGATGCTACTGATAGCCAAGGACCCCCGATGTAGGTTAAAATAAAGTAGGTTATTGCACTACCCGGTTATTTTTAGTCGACCAGTCCAAGTTACACTGTCGAACTGTGTACACGTCTACATGAACTTAGAGACTGTAGACTAAAATGTTGAACCAATGTGACAGAGCGGCCTATTGCAGATTTCTTGTGTGTAGCAACCGAGGCTCATGGCTATAACGATGGAGCTTGAAGAGAGCGCGTCGGACTCGAAAATACACCGAGATAGCACATCTAAGAAGGAGCTTCGGCCATCAAGCGCTGTCTCATTCTCGAAGTCCGAACATGGGCCAGGTTGGTGGAGTAGTGGATAGTTCTCCCTTCTCGATACCAATTAATTAGTAACTACATAATGACTTTTATTTTATTTGCTAGAAGGTTCATCATCAAGCGAGCAATTGAAGCAATATAAAAGTTGGGTAAGCACCGAAAGATGGAATGAGCTGAAAAAGATCGCTGATAACGCAATGAAGGAGCATAAAGTGTTCATGATAAAAGGTGGTGGATTCCCAGCGGTTCGACGAGCGCTTCTTGAACGAGGATGGATTGAGAAATATGAGTCACATAAGGTATTACCAAACTTACCAGCGGTAAGTCACTGGACAATTTATTCGTAGATAGAGACACATTTAAGAAAGCTTGAATCGTAATTCGGCTCCTCGTCTTGTACATGTGGATTCAAAATTTGCAGCTCGCACGAGGTTTGTATTAATGATTAACATTTACTAATCGACCTTATTTTTCTAAATTTAAAGGTTCGCCATCCTCCTCATGTAGATCCAAAAAAATTGCACGGTAAAGAACTTTCGAAAGTGGAAAGAATGATTCTGTATAAATTCATGGAGCACCATTCTGTTGACTTTCTTTGGACAACTAAGAGGGATAAGTACGACTGGCTGCTTAGTAACAAGGACGTTATTATTAGCAGGTAACCTTTCAAATTATACAAAAGGTTGTTACAGAAACGTGTAGTCACATTTTAAGGGTCATTGTACTCGAGCACATAACGATTCTAACGATCTGTAAGGGGCCGACTACGAAAGCCCGAAAATACGACGTTTCATTTTATTTTTTTGTCTAGAGCGATTTTGCATAACAGGTATAGAGTTTTCTTTGGAGTAGCTGCTTTGTGTCATATCATATAGTTGCATGGGGCTATAGTGAAAAGGCATAATAATAATAAGTGCATGGGTATATTGACCTTTTAAATAGAACATAACGTTTCAAGTATACATTGCAACACTTTGTTGTTTTTTTGTGTTATTTAAACTCGCTCTTTTGTCAGATTTTGCAGATCGATTTTCACCACGAAGGAAGGTTTAACTACATCCCTAACGCAGATGCACTGGCATACGGAGCCAGGAGTGGCATTGACAAAGTTCCCTCGTTGCTACAACATCCACAATTCCGACAGCCTTGAGGAATTCATCGACGATTTTAGAATAACGGCCTGTATCAGTGTCCTAAAATGGTTATCAATCGCATTGCAAAACAATCCTGAACCCAACATTATTACAGCGAATGGAAAAGTTCCATTTAGTGCCATAGAATTTGCCATCAGCAGGTTGAATGAATACATAGTGTTCCTGACTCATAGGGATATCGATGACACGGACGACCAACAGCATGTCTGGGAACATGAATGGGACCAGTTTCTGACACACCATTATCTCTTAGTTCACGAGAAAGCCAAGTTTATGGAAGACAAGAACATTAATGTCCGGTACGTATTGCGTGACTATTAAGTTTCAGTAATGAATGCGTCTTGTCGTTATTTGTGAGTAAACACTTTTGTGTTCACATTACAGCTATTAGATCATTGTTTGTCAATTTTATTGTGTCGTTGAAAACAATTCATCAATATTTATTATCTGTTGGTTCGCGCACAGATTGATTGTCAACAATGACGAGTTATGTGATCATGTCATGTAACCTTACCTTTTATTATTGCGTTAACATAACATCATGCCTGCTATGACACGAAATCGAAGGCACTAGAGGTGCACGTATAATAAAATGCACGCACTTGCCCCGTATCATCGATTTTTGACCAAAAAATGAAAAGGTCTCTAGCTCCCTAAACGTGTGCACCAGCATAGAATAAATGGGTGATATTTTGTACCATTGATAGTGTTTGAAGATTAAAAATAGCCAATTATATTGACACCGCGCCCAGTAACTCTCGACTGGCACACTTACGACCACACAATCTTTTTGTTTTTCAAACGACTTCAAATAATACCGTTTAAAAAAGATGGAGGTTCTCAATTCGACAATATCTATTATTTTTGTGTTTGTTACTGGATTTCTCGATGACGCCTGGACCGATTTCAAAAGTTACTTTTTAATTTTTAGGCAATTAGAAAGGAGAGGCTGTAAGATTTTAGGCACGATGGCGAAGTACTGGCCTCAAATAGACATCGATGGTATACTCAACATATGGATCGTGAAACCTGGCAACAAGTGTCGAGGCCGTGGCATTCAGCTTATGAACAATATCAAAGACATAATAGGTCTTATCAACATACCTGCTCAGAAAACTAGATATGTCGTGCAGAAATATATCGGTATTGTTATAATATTATTCTTACACTGCACTCTTTGTGAAAAGACCTTCACATATCATTTACGTACCTAATGCATCCTTATCTTTGCTTGCAGAAAATCCGCTGGTAATCTACAATACGAAATTCGATATCCGCCAATGGTTCCTCATAACGAATTGTCAGCCATTAACCATTTGGGTCTACAAGTAAGAATACTAGTAGGTATAAGTAAATTTTATCGCTGTCGTGAACATATTTAATGCTATATTCTACTTCTTACAGAGACAGCTACCTCAGATTTAGTTCACAAATATTTAGTTTATCGAATTACCACGAATCTGTTCACCTCACAAATAATGCCGTACAAACGAAATATAAAAATACTGGCGAACGAGACAAAGCTCTACCAGACGAAAATATGTGGGACTGCCACACTTTCAAGGCTTATCTCAGGTAAGAATAAAAAAATCACATTGAATAGGCACTTTCAACAATATATTACTTACAACTTTATTACATATTTGAAGACAGATAGGAAAATATGAATTGTGGGAGGAGAAAATTTATCCTGGGATTAAACAGTGCCTGATAGGCGCCATGTTGGCTTCCCAAGAGAGCATGGACAAGAGACAGAATAGCTTCGAACTGTACGGAGCAGACTTCATGCTGACCGAAGATTTCACGCCATGGCTCATTGAAATCAACTCAAGTCCAGACCTAGCGCCTACAACATCGGTCACTGCCCGATTATGTCCACAATGCCTTGAGGATGTTATAAAAGGTAATATTTAGTAATAAGCACAGATAAATATTAAAGTTATACCTAGGTAGGTACTAGGTAGATACATATGTCTCCTAAAAGGGTTAAACTGATGCTAACCGTAATGAATGCATTTTTTTTTCATTTACAGTGGTTCTAGATCGACGATACAACCTCGACGCAGATACTGGAACATTCGAGCTAGCATACCGTCAGATAATACCTAAAGCTCCAGCGTATCTGGGTCTATCATTGTGTATTAATGGGAAACGGGTGCTCAAGAAGTGCAAGGAACGTAAACACGAAGTAAAGTCTACCCACACCCCACAACCACCTCGCGTGCCCTCCGGCGACGCTATCCTCTCATCAGATCAAGACCAGCCAGTACCAGCTGAATACAGCGGTCCTATCATCACAGACTTTCTTACTTGGTTGAACCCGTACGATGCTCTGCCTACTAATAAAGATGGCATAGTACTAGGCCCCAAGGACTCCCTCACGGTACGCCAAGCTATCACAGTCGTCAAATCCACTATCACGCTAAAGAGCGCACCGAAAAAGCGTAAAACATCCCTTTCTTTTAGGATTCATCGAGGAAGACGAGAAAGAAATACTGAGTGTAAACGACGAATTGTGCCTCATTCGTGCTGTCGACCTGAAGACGGTCAATTTACTAATCAGACCGGTAAATACCGGACCGAGTCAGCGAGCAAAGCCGAAAAGACCAAGGTTGACAGGTCGGTCGGTAACAAGCGTTGTTATATAGACCCGGTCGAATGGGAGCGGGAAACCGCTAGTATTCTCCGGTCAACAATATCTGTTCAAAACAAAGTAGTTAGCAAACCTGAACCGGCCACGTCACTGCGCCACGCCAAGTCCAGTGTAGTTAGTTCCAATCGAAAATCGGTTGACACGATCAACCGTCGTAACAGTTTGGACGATTCAGATCCAATTAAAAAACTAAGCGCGATAGGCACAAGTATTTGCAAATTACAGGGTGATAACAGAAACAAAGACAAATCTATATCACTTTCGAAGAGTTGCACCTCGATATACGCGCCTTACAGGGTCGTTGTTACACCTCTCAATGAGGAATCTTCAAACTCTTTCTTGAAAAGAAAGAAATAACTGCTATAAAATTGTGTTCAGAATATTATTCACCTTAAAATTGTTCAATGTTTGATATTAACAGTTTAGAAAATGTAGTTTAACTATAAAGTGAATTAAACTTATAAGACTTTAAAATGTTACGGCGAATTTTCACATTTGAAATTGTTAAAGTAATATTATTTTTCGCTATCGACTGTTGGCATGTTCAAATTCTAATAACCTATGTTATAAAATAAATTATAACGAATATTATGGTATTACAATTTTACTTACAGATACGACACCCATGGATCCTTTTCTGTCCAATTCCTACTTCCATCCCACGCAATAGATACTGTACGGTTACAAAGTGCATGACAATAAGTGACAGGAATGTGATGTCTAGTCGTCAACGTCAGTGTTCCGTCAAAATTTTAATAAATTATTAGTAAAATGTGAAATACCCAAAATAAAATCTACGTATCAATACCAATAAGAATAAAATTACAAAAAAATGCTACCAGAAACTGAAAAGGTAATGGTTTTATGGATGCTATGTTGATGTAAATAAATACCCAGTTAAAGGCATTTCTCAAATTAATTTTGTTGAATCCAAGTTACATGTACTATAGTGTAAAGTCTGTAGTCCAAATGATCATTGTAAGTACATACAATTTAAATTAAACTATTAATTAGGGCACATTTTAAGGAATCTTCCTGAGTCCCTAAAAAATCCGCAAGTAGGTACATACCTAGTTTTTGTTGGTGCGTGCCTAATCATTAATTAGACCTGCTAAACATATTATACATTATTCAGTCGTTGTAGAAACACACCAACGTTACTGCCTACCTATCTACTTATTATGCAACTATATAAATATAATTTATAAGTAGGTAGCTAAGTGAGCAGGTAGTAGATATTTCGTGAGAATATTAGAAAAATAGATAGGTATAAAAATAAATAGACAATCCTTAATAATTCAGTTTATTTTATTTTTTTTGTATCAGAGCACGTAAATATTTGCCCTTGTATAAAAATGAATCCATTTGAAAATGCCGTGCCGAAAGAAGAAAACTCTCAAGAGAAGAAAGGTATTTTTACAGACTTAAGTACAGTATTAAAATTTAATATGATACCTAATAATAACTCTAATAATTCCGTATTTATCCACAGAAATTATTAGGAATAGGAACAAAAACTCAAAGAGATGTGAAACTTAAAAATGGACGCAAGTCATGCAAACATCGTCCGTCCCCTATTTTCAAAAAGTGTACACATCAAGTAAGATGTTCACAATTGTTTATTTATTTCTTTATCATAATGTTTATAGTAGTTTTACAAATAAAGATAATTATAATGTGTTACATACATTTCGTATCATTTACAGCGATCAAATAATGTTGACAAGGGTAATGTAATAAAAAATAAATCTCCTGTGAGGTGTGTCGTTAACAACACAAAGATGGAGGGTAAAAAGAGTAAGTTCATGGATCACAGGAGCATCTATTACCACGAAGGTCTAACACCGAAGGACAAAAATTATATTATTTGCAATTGTCAAACCAAATCATCACGGTACATGTCATTAAAATGCCTAGCTGCACGAGCTATACGTGAAAATAAAATCTTTTCCATTTTCGGCTCTTGCAACGCTATAAGAACGGCATTAGTGGAAAGGGGTTGGGTTGAAAAACTACCCGCCACTAAAATGAATTTAACCAAAATAAAAAATGGGACTTTAACCACCAAACACGAAATACATGGTGAATTAGAGCGATTACTCTTATCAAATGCAGTTGAAAAGTGTCCATCGAATTTTATTTGGCGCACGAGAGACGACCTTCGTGACCATGTTATCGATATGAACAAAGAATGTCCAACTATTATTAATAGATTGAAGACGGATGCTCAATGGACATCAAAGCAGGGTTTATGTTCCTCTATGAAGAGGAACTACTGGTTCTACATTGAAGATTTGGCGGAGGTTATAGGCCCTCGCAGCTATAACACGAGCGATGCTGGTGAAATAGAAGGATTTGTAAAAGACTACAAAATAACTGCTTGTACTAGCTTGTTGAAATGGATTTTATCAATGGTAGCCAATGAGAGACCAATATTTGTAGACACTGGAAAGATATCGTTGAATGTTGTGTTATTTGCTTTGAGTAGATGTAAAGATTATTTATATAAAAAAGAGCATAAAGATATAGATCGATCCATAAGTAATGTATCTATGGGACAATGGAATACTTTCTTGAAAAAATATTATCGTATTATAGCAAGAGACGATGTTTTCCAAGCGGATACTGATAATAAGTTACCGCTATATATGGCGTACGCAAAATTTTTGCTGAAAGAAATGCATAAATACCGACCGCAATTAAGTTGCGAGGGGTGCCATAACATCTGGATCATTAAACCAGCTAATAACTCACGAGGGAGAGGCATCAGAATGGCTTCCAGGTTGACAGTGATTACTGACTTACTTAATAAAGCTAACGCTAAATATGTCATTCAGAAATATATTGGTAAGTTTTAAGTTTGGTAAGAGAGACTGCCTCGTTGGCCAAGTGGTCGCAAGTGCGACTGCCGGGCAAGGGGTCTCGGGTTCGATTCCCGGGTCGGTCATAGTATAACTGGATTTAAAAAAATTCTCAGTAGTAGCACAGAATCTGAAATTGTGCCCGGTATATGGCAATAGGCTCACCTCCTATTACATGGGACTCGTAATATAAATAATGAAAAGTGGGTGTTACATTATACCTCAAGTGGCATAATGCGCACCTCTGCCTACTCCTTCGGATAAAAGGCGTGATGTTATGTTGTGTTTTAAGTCAACTTTAGGTTGGGTATTAATTTGTAACTTTGTAGAATACTTCTATCTACCTTTTTGTAAAAGGTCCTGTACTTAACTCGTCGAGTACCGGTTTTATAGACACAATTAAAGAACAATAGGTCGCGGTCACCGGTGACCGCTTGGTGTTTGACAGTTTAATATTTAATTTACAGAAGAACCACTATTGATACACGAAACAAAATTTGACATAAGACAATATTGTTTAGTTACAAGCACATATCCGTTAGTAATATGGATGTATAAAGACTGCTATTTGAAGTTTAGTTCACAAAAGTACAATTTGAAAAACTACCATGAGTCTATACATTTGACGAATAATGCAGTTCAGAGAAAGTACGTTAACTGTGAAGGAAGGCATAAGGAATTACCTACTGCCAATATGTGGGATTCTGATATGTACAAAGATTACTTAAAAAGACTTGATAAAGGTAAAGTATGGGAAAAAATTATCTACCCTGGAATGAAGAAATCCATTATCGGCATAATGTTAAGTTGCCAAGATTCTTTATCAGTTTGTAAGAATCGCTTCGAGCTGTACGGCTGCGATTTTATCCTTGACAAGGAATATAAACCGTGGTTAATTGAAATTAATTCAAGTCCAGACCTTAACCACACTACGCCTGTAACCGCCAAGATATGTCCAGCAGTTCTTACAGACTTAATAAAAGGTAATCTATTTATATAACGTCTAACTAAAGTGAAATGCCTCTTTGATCGAATTGTTGCAATAATAATACACGGAAGGAAGCAGTCCTAAGTTTAAACTGTCAATAAGTAACTAGGTATTTCATGTCTTTTCATGTCATGTGTAACATAGATGATAACATAAATCTGCCAGTTCCATTAGTTCAGGATGCCTAAATATGGAAACTTTTTTTATTTCAGTTGTGATTGATTTTGCTAGAGATACAACATCGTCAACAGGAAGGTTTGAATGTATTTATCGGCAACCAATGACTATACCAAAATACGGAGGAGCGTTAGATCTATTTGTACGAGGCGTTTCTTTACCAAACGATTATTTCTACAAGGGCAGTATTGACCTCAGAGAATCTTACGATTGCGATGAAGATATGGACAAAGTAAATAACATCAAAGCCATATTAGACAAAATTAAAAACAAATACGACACAGACACAGTAATGGTAGAACCCGAAGACGATGGTAATACCACTACGAAGAAAGAAAAAGAAACCACCACACGTCGTCGTTCGCGATCTGAAGATGAGCTTAATGTAGCAGCGAGCGTGATTACTGGACAGCTGGAAGAGCTTTTAGACCGAATCGTCTCCACACACAGCTATAAAGAAAAAAAATCTGGACATCAAATGGGATCATTTTCAACCCCTGTTAAATGTTACGTAGCCCAACAACCGGTCAAAAGTGTAAATAAAATAATGAAAATGTCTTTGAATCGAGTGGAACCTGTTAAGCCTGTTGCCGTTACTAGTGATCGAACATTTGGTTTTAGCGAACTAGATGATGGCCCTATTGGCAAGGGCAGTTACGTTGGCATAGGCTCTTACAAAACTAATTTCAACGACATTAGTGAGCTTGAAGTCGTAAGATTATTAAGTAGATCTAGAAGTAAAGAAAGCATAACGTCTCCTTCCGCATCGACAGAAATTATGCTCGAAGCCACAACTAAACTCATTAATTTTATTAATAAAAAAGAAAAGGAATATTTTACGGAAAACAATCCGCAGAAGTGAAGCGTTACCTGCAACAGTGACGGCCTATGACGACTATCATTCAAATCTTATATCACCTTCAAGTTAATATAATACTATGTACATAGTTTTTACAACACAAGATCAAGCTTTAATACATTTCTTTACTATATTTCATATGGCATATTATTAAAATTTTTACTACTAAGTACATAAAAACTTCATGGCCCATTGTTGCCGTTTACATGCACTTCATTTTAATTGTCACCAGCACTCGAACAGGAACTTGACCCTGGTTTCGATTTGGTAATTAATAGACATAAAACATCTATGTCTGTGTAAAAAACAGAAAATTCATTTTCATTATATTTGAAGTTTATATAAATTTTAAGTATCGAGCAGACCGGATGCGAATAGGTTATTCGATAATCTAAATAAATAAAAATGGATTTCTGTTCGTTAGTCTCGCTAAAACTCGAGAACGGCTGAACCGATTTGGCTAATTTTGGTCTTGAAATGTTCGTGGAAGTGCAGGGAAGGTTTAAAAGGTGAGAAAAATATTTTTTAGGCGATACGAAGTTTGCCGGATCAGCTAGTTCTTAATAAAAAAACCGACTTCAAAAACTAATGACAAACGAAAAGTAAAAACTAAAAAAGAAAAAAATAACTATTATTGGTCATACGTACTTTTAACTTACACACCCACTGATAGGTTAGAAATCGGTGCCACAAGTTATTCATTAAAACCTTAATAGTTACCTAACATTATTAAGCTGTTTACAATTTTATTCCGCGTTATACCAGCTGTGCCCATTAACTACTTTATATTTTGTTGTGGATTTGTGGCACCGACTTCTAACCTATCAGTATCAGTGGGTGTGTACTTTTCGTTTGTCATTAGTTTTTGAAGTCGGTTTTTTTAAACGCAGTTTTTTAATTTTATTTTATACTTAGTACTTTGATATATTATATTATACACAACCCACATCGATGCAAAGTTTTCATCAATACAAATTATTCAAGTTCAAACACCGGGTGGATACTCTTAACCATTGAGGAGTCCCTTAGCAATCATACTATTTCATCATTGCCATCATCATTGGACCTTAAATGACCATCCCCCCCCCCCCTATCTAGGTGTAAAGTCCTCATCAATACAAATTATCAAACCCAAACACAAGGTAGCTACTGGTTACCACCGAGGAGTTCCCTCATCTGTCTTACTACTGCATCATCAGACTCTTAATGACAATCACATCCCATCTAGGTGTAACGTCCTCATCAATACAAATTATTAATACCAGACACAACACAGCTACTGGTAACCGTTGAGGAGTTCCCCCAACTATCGTACTACTTCATCATCAGACCCTTATTGACAATTACACCCCACCCAGGTGTCAAGTCCTCATCAATACAAATTAATCAAACCCAAACACAAGGTAGCTACTGTTAACCGTTGAGGAGTTCCCTTGACTGGCTCTCGGCTCCATCATCAGATCGACTTCAGACTTTTATCAGATTGTAGTGGTTTTCAATACTTAATGGAGCCTTAGTCACCCCTATAATGTTTAAAAGTTCCCCACGGTTTCCCTGGACTTCCATCATCAGATCCTGATTTACTTATCATGGGACCATTCTGGAACTACCTCCTTTCCAACAAAAAAAGAATTTTCAAAATCGGTTCATAAACAACGGAGATATCGGCGAATAAACATAAAAAAGCATATATACGGTCGAATTGAGAACCTCCTCCTTTTTTTGAACTCGGTTAAAAAAAAGTTTACGATGTCACTATCCTCAACATGTTAATTTGAAAATTGTAACTGTGCCCTTGCTCTCAACTTCTCAAGCAATGCAATAAAATATTGATAACAATGACTTGTTAAGTTAGTACTTAACAACGTGTGTTATTAGATTTATATTAAACCAGCAAATCCAGCGAACTGCGTTTTGCCACCAGATGGCTTCGTTTTATGTAACATTTCGTTTGGTGATTAGAATACATATTTTTTTTCTATATTTATAATTTTCTTTGCTATAAACCACACGGAGCCTGAGACCTTTCCAACGAATACAAAACCGTGGAAATCAGTTCGTTCGTTCTGGAGTTACAGCGTCAGGAAGGAAAACCCGGCTTATTTTTATATCTATATATATAAAAGAAAGTCGTGTTAGTTACACCACTTATAACTCAAGAACGGCAGAATAGATTTGGCTGAAAATTGGTAGGGAGGTAGCTTAGAGCCAGGAGACCGACATAGGATACTTTTTAACCAATACTTTTTTTTACTTTTTACCGAAAATCACGAACGGGGACGGGTAAAAATGGGATTACGCGTACGAAGTAACGGGCAGAAGCTAGTAGTAGATAAAAGTTAATTTATGTCAAGGGTTTTTGGAAAATCACCCACGTCCACATACTGTTGGGGGAAGTGTATTTGGATTGTACGTCGACGTGCATATCTACGATACACAAGTAGTATACAATCATGTAATGTCCTGTCTCCAGGCCTGCCCAATACCGGTTAATGGCATCATAAGAATTTCTCTAAGCTTAATTTTTGCCGCCCGATACCAGTAGGGGGCGCGTGGCGCCCCAAATTGTATACAAGTATCCTTAATCGATTTTTGCAAAATCGAGAATCCACTACTCGCCACCCACTCCTTGTTGATGGCGCTCGAAATCCACAAAAATCCTTCGGAGCTTACTTTTTGGTGCCCTATACTGGTCAGTGGCGTTCTAAATTCGAGCGCTCTTGAAACCGATGGAGCGTCCTCGAACACTGTAGAGAAAGACTCGAAAAATATCGCACGAAAACTTTCGAGAGTTACTCGAAATCTATCGAGTATCCCCTATCATTTTCGAGAGGTAGCAGGAGACACTTTGGGTGTACTATCGCGTCGCATTGTCGGGATTTCACCGTAAGCGCGAGTCCGCGGACGGCAAGCAAGGATAGCTCACCAGCTGACGAGTACCAGATCCGAGCGTATGGCGTGCGTCGGGGAAAATGTGGGCCTCAAAGATCCATCAGACTACCATAGACGGGGCCTTGCTGGAGGGATAGGTTGTCATATGGGTACTGAAGCCCTGGCTTTGAGCAAGTGTTTGAAGGAATGGGGTGGTTTTTAGTTAGTAAGAGATGTAAGAGTCACTTGCTCAAGGGTCATTTGATGACTTTTTCCCACCCAACATAAAGGGCATAATCGGTATTTGCACGCCGGCGCTCGAATAGCAAGCGGCGGGCCTGCCTGTCTCATACAATTCCGCAGATTACAACTACGTATTACAAGTACAACTAATTTACTTAGTGGTATGTGCGCCTACGCTTACGTTTACTTTCTATGCATGTGGTCTGCTCAAGCCTATAACTTGCAGCTTTGCAGCAACGAAAATACAACTTCTACATGCACGGCTTGCATGTAGAAGTTGTATTTTACAGGTACGCATTGGCTGCCGTGTCGGACAATGTTGTCCGACGCTAGCGGAGGATTGGCCTTTAACAGTTTTTGTCGGCAGTTAAAGGCTTAACTTTCTCCTTAATTCAAACTTAAGAATTACTTTTACTTATGCAAGTGGCGGGAAAAATTGAATTGAAAACGCACACAGATTCTTTTCCGGTTGTAATGAAAAATAAAACGACTTTATGGTATACAACATGAGTGTATCCGATCGTAGTTCGAGTCATTCGATTTTCACAGTGCTGTGCAAAAAAATGGCGTCGCTTGTCAAACATAGGTAGCAATGCGTGTACCTATGTGAAATTGTGAATGTTTGTGGAAAAGTTAATATTTTATTATTGAGCTTGCAAATTGTTATCTTTCAACTTTATATACAATGGGCCGTTCAAGATCAAGAAGTAAGTCGCCGCGGCGGCACCATAAAAGTAGCAAACATTCTAGGAAGAAGAGTCGTTCTAAGGACCGTTCTACATCGAGAAGTAGAAGTTCCAAACTTATTGAAAAATCTAGAGAACGTAGTTCTAAATCAAGGTAAGATAAGTTCATTAATACGTAAGCTATTCTGTAGTATTTTGTGTACGTGTTTTTGACGTTACTATGGTGTATTTTCAGAAAAAGATCGCATTCCATGTCGTCTTCCACAAGCAGTGACGCTTCATATGATGGCAGTAGAAGTCACAGGAAGAAGTCTAAGGGACGTAGCAAAATGGACGAGGTCGACAGATTAGCTGAAATGGAAAGACAGAGACGCGTAAGAGAAGCAGAACAGAAAGTAAATATTGTCATAAAATATTTTGAAACATGGTTACTATTTAGTACCTAGTAGGTGCTTTTTTGATATTTTATACAATATTCGAAAGTAGATATGAAGATCAAACAATAATAAGGTATACTATGAAGTTTCCCAATTTCTGTCATCAATTTTTGTGATCAATAAAATTATAATTGCAAATGAGATAAAATGTCAAAATTCAAAATTATCAGTTGTAAGAGCATCAGAATTATTTGTGTATTTTAATATTCCAAGTTTAATAATTTAAAAATTCATATCAGAGTTGTGTTAACAATATGTTATTAAATGTGAAATGTAATTTTGTAGGTGGGTTTCATGGTAGTGACTGCTTACATTATAGTAAACAATTAAACTTGTTTACAGATTTTTCCTGTATTGTGTGTGCTTTTATAAATGTACCATCTTAACTGATCTGTTTAACTGAACATATCCATCATTGTCCTATTTCAGGTGGTGGAAGAAGAAGCAGCAAAAAGAATAGAGCTGTTGGTGAAGAAAAGAGTAGAAGAGGAATTAGAAAAAAGAAAAGAGGAAATTGAACAAGAAGTGGCTAAACGAGTTGAAGAAGCCAAACGCAAGATGGAGAAAGAAATGATGGAAGAACTGGAGAGACAGCGGGAACAACAGCGGCGCGAGGAGCTTGCTAGACAGGTAACTGGTTATAGTACATACTAGTCATGTGTACTGGCAACACAACACAATGTTGCATCTACACATGACAACACATACCCTGCGACAGCAACTTATGTTGCTCTCGCAGTCACACAAGTGTAAATGCAATATTTAATACCAGCATCATAACAATTAGAGAAACTAATGAAAGTATTATTTCGATCATATCTGTTAAAGGTCCAGTCAGGTGTAGTTCGAGTGCTTACAAGAATTAGTTTCTTGATTTCTTATTAATGTCACTCACCGAGGCTGGCTGTCTCTGTAATTAATAATTATATTATATACCTACATGTCCATTTTATAACCACATATTTCATACGCACCTACAAGGCAGAGTTTATACTATTTCCTGCCATATTGTAAGTTTGCCATGAAGGCGTCCGGCTAGCATTTTAAAATTGTTCGCTTGACTGTCCCTGGCAGTCACGTAGTCTATAAGTCAGGTCGGAAGACTGATCAAGAACGAGAAGCCCTAAGAATTTTATGGAGACGCAGCTTGAGGATCCAGACATGCGAGCTGAAGGTATTTTTTGAATCTATTTTTTGTATAACCACATTAAATGAAGGAATACACATTTGTATGATGTATCATCATTAAATATTTTATGACATTGCATACTTATGTTTTTTTTCTCTATTTTTAAATTATTATTTTAGGAAACCAAAATCTTTTAAAGTCACCGTAAACACGTTCAACTGTATTATTTATGTTATGAATGAAGAAGGCTGACAAGTTGAAGTTTACACAAACTGCTGATAGAGGGCTATAGTTTGTGTGAACTATTTTAATGCATAGTGTTGCTTTTATAAATAAAGATCAATATTAACATGGTATTTCTATTATACAGGAGGAAGAAGCACGTAAAAGGAAAGAGTTGGAAGAAATCATGGCAGAAAATAATAAAAAGATTGAAGAGGCTCAGCGGAAGCTGGTGAGTGAAACCATTTATTTGACTGTTACTTGTAAACTAGATAAGGTTTTTACCAGACTTATATTTTTTGCAAGAGTTTAGATAAACAAAGCATAAACACACAGTCCTCAGTTTTTTTTCATTATACTAAGTTAGTTAAACTTATATTTCCAGGCTGAGGAGAGGTTAGCCATGATAGAAGAACAAAGAAAAATGGATGAAGAGAGGCAGAAACTGAAAAAAGAACAAGAAAAAAGAATAAAAGAGGAACAGAGGAAAATATTAGGCAAAAATAATTCAAGGCCTAAACTTTCTTTTTCATTGAACACACTGTCATGAGCAGAGTTCAATGCTAAAGGTGTTACTAGATAATTAGAATCATTAAAGTAAGGTCATAATTTACTTTACAGGTTTTACCTATGAGACATCTTTTTTTTAGATTAGTTTCTGATACAATTTCACTTTTTCTCAATAGACAGCATGTTCTATAATTTTTTGGTAGTTAGAACCAATGGAATACAGTTAACTAAGAAGTTGTGATAGTACTATGCAACACCAGATGATAAGCAAAGTGGGAATTTCAACTATTGGTACAATTATGTCAAATTATCAGAAAACTGAACACATGCATGAAATTAATGATTAAATCTTTATAAATTACAGCAGAGTTTACCTGTTGTATGAAATCTTTAGCACAATAAAGTTAATAACATGTCTGATTTCCAAAATATGTTTAATTGTTGGTACATCAAAGTAATCGTCCAATGTTGTATAATTATAAATAATTTATTTGTACTGGAGATTCATAGTGTTGCCTGTCCAACAGTAATATATTTTTGTGAACTGTATCATGAAGTTACTGTAAAGTTAAACAAATTGTTGAATAGATTTAAGAATTAGTCTGATCTAAGTGCTGCAGTTACATTTAGAAGACATTTCACAGAGGAGCCTTATAAACTTAATACCCTTTATAATGCATTCATTCTTAGTAAATAACTTATGTCCAGATGAATGAAGAAACTCCACTCAATTCTTAAATAGTCTTAGAAATAGTGTACTTACAAACAAAGAAAAGCAGAATAGTTTAAAATTATAGAATTCTAGTATATTTAATTAGGCTACTGTGGTCCAACAAAGGTCATAAATTCATTCCTTGCAGAATAACTAATGCAATACTTATTGTTAACTATTTCAAAAGTGTATTGCAGTTCTACCAAGTGCCACAAAGTGACAGAATATACAATACGTACTGTAGCTAAAGCCGTTTCATTTTAAGTTTTCGTTCTAGACCGTAATTATTAGTTTCATTTAAAATTAAACTATAATATATAGAACTTTATGAATGTACATATTATGTTTGTAAATTTAAGATACATAATTTAAGTTTCATTGAATCATTCTTTAGGATAAATATTTCTTTAATTGAAATGATATACATAAAAAGTGTAACATTTCAGTTATACTATTATAGGAATGATAAGTTTGCTGTATGTCCATTTCATCATTAATTTTCTACTTTATTAGCGAACAAGTCCATCTATCAAATTGAGTTTTTCTGTAAAGCCAGATTAACACTGATGTTACTTCATAAAAAGTGCAAGATTGTGCAACGATATATCTATAAAGTTGGGAAATAATTTCCGCAACGGATTTGACCCCAAACATGATGATTGAATATCAATATCTGTAATTTATTTCAGGTTGATAAGTGAAGTAAATTGTGTACATAGAAGATTACATTGCTATGGATGCAAACAAATCTTTGATATGTTATTTTAAAAATATCATCCCACACAAAGATATAGGAACTGTATGATTAACATATTACATGTATGTTGTATAGTCAGCCTAGTTATTTAGTATGCAGAAACTAAAGATTATTCAGGGTCCAGAGATAGTATCCATTGTCTGCTTTCTAATGAAGCTGTACCTTTTGGAGCCTTTAGTTATCATTTATGTGTCTCTATAGTCTTAAACTCCTTATTCTGTCTCTGTTATGAACTATCTTCATTTTTTTATCTGCTTCAAATTGCTTGGCTGATTGTACGTGTAATTTCGTTATTTCTAAGACATGTATGTATAAGTCATTGACGATTTGTAATTATAGTGTAAGGTAGAAAATACGCATTTTGCACAAAGAGAGATAAGTATTTATACAAACCTACAGATTGTGAGAAACGCCTCGTTTTAAGGATGAGTTAATCAATTGCTATCACCATGAAGTGTTTATTAAATTACGTATCGACATTTAATTATTAATGTCATCTAATAAACTTTATGCGTACTTCGAACAAACAAAATACAAGAATGTTGTGGTGTTTAAAGATTTCATTTACAATAAACTTGAAGTTGCCCTGAAAATTCTTAGTATTAGTCGATCATTATTCATTTAATTAAATAAATCTTCACCGATTTATTTGTTTTATTTTTACAATTGTTTTTATAGATGAAAACCTTGATTTTATTCAAATGCACACAAAATAGGAAGAAAACGCATAGTAATCACGAAGACGCTTCGAACATTATAATCAAAACGCCTTTGTTATGTTATTTGTACAATATACGATTTCCGGTCAATCTTCCAAATTATGTCATCGCGTTGCTTTCTACAGCAGATCATTATCCTTACCCACTGATAAGGTGCAAAGGTACATCTGTGTCCATCCCATGCGTGAGTATCGACAGTGATACTGACAAAAATCTGATGCCAAGTTGTAACAATGACGATTAAACAATTTTTCTAAATTTCAAGTCCACTAAAAAAAATGATTAATATTGCAGTCTGATTTGTCATATTTAGAAAATATTAAAGAACTTATTGAAAATTGTAAGTTTTTCGAAGAGTATATTTTTATGCATTAACAACACTGATATCATACGTCAAAATATAATACAGTAATGTCGTGTCATCAATGTCAAACTAGTTCAATTACGTGAACTTTGTTCGTAGCCGGTTGTTGTAGTTGATAAGATATAAATCAATAAATGTTTTAGATGTATTGAACAAATATTAGATTTACTATTTATTCACTGTTACGATTCCAAAGTACATAAGCATAATGGCTGAATTTTTGAAAGGTTTATTGTTATCGGTTTTAACTGAGAAATGCTACGAAGAATATTTCGAGAAATACAACTTTCTCGATGGTAATTATGTGCTACATATTTTTTCTTGGAATGCTGAGATTTTGTTTTAATTTATGTTACAGTTATTCTTGTGGGTTACTGTGTCCTTTACTAGTGTACTTATTCATGTTCATAAAGATAAATGTTTTATAATATTTCAGGTCCTTGTATGACCGCGACCCTTAGTAAAGGTCTCGGCATCGGTATCATTGCCGGCTCTATTCTTGTAAAAGTTCCTCAAATATTGAAGATTTTAGGCAGTAAGAGTGCAGAGGGCATCAATATTTATGGAGTGTATCTGGAGTTGTTTGCTATCACAGCAAACTTCGCTTACAGTTATGTTATGGGCTTTCCATTTAGGTGAGTATTTTCGGAACTTAAAGTAAATATATCAATTGTTATGTATTAGAATTAAGAAGCAAAAATCCTTACTGGACTGACCTGAGCTACAGTGCTACAAAATGTTTGTTTATATTCCTTAAAAAAATATAACAAGTGCAATAAGTAAAAAGGTTATTTAAAATTTTATCTATATTTCAGTGCATGGGGAGAAGGCACCTTTTTAGCGATACAAACAGCCATCATTGCAGCATCTGTTTTGCACTATGGAGGATCAACAGGCACAGCTGGCCTCTTTTTAGCCACATATGCAGGCATTGTGTCTGCTCTAGTCAGTGGTGTCACTCCTACAGATGTTCTGTGGACCATGCAAGCTGTTAATGTGCCTATTATTGTTATAGCAAAGGTAATAAATAGTGTTTTAATAATTAACTTAAATATTTTTGCCTTAAACTGCTACCGATTCCTATTGGATAAGCTATGGTGCATTGAAACATTTCTCTAACATTTTTGTCTTTTACTAAAGTCATTTGTTGTTCAAGAGATATTTGTATTAACAAAAACTTGTCTCTTTTTATGACCAATAAATCCTAATGTAATTTCTCATAGTGACAAATACTTTAGGTATATAATTCAAGGACATATTTTACTAAATATAGTAAAAGATTCATATCTACAAAGCTAAGTCATGAACTTTACATATTTCAAAAATTATGATAATTTGAACATTTACATGAAAGTCCTATAGTTACGGAATTTATAATAGGAGATTATGTAAAATTTTATGTGGTTGCTGTAACTTACTACTACTACTATAACTTTTTACAAAAACATTACAGATGTAATCATCAACATCTATCATTGATAATAATAATTACAAAAACGATATTATAATATGCTTCCAAAGACCTGGGAACCTGAATAGTCTAGTCACAGAATAACCCAGTTAAATGTCTTCTAATCATTTGGACTATGTTCATTCATTCATTTAGAAGACTATGACAAAGTTAATTATGGCTCTTATGTGCCATACTATAAATTTTCTCATTTTACATACTATATTTTATTTGTGTACTTATTCCTCGATATTTGATAATGCTTTTATAATAACTATCGTGAGACATACTAAATTAACTAAAATTGCGGTTACTCACGTGAATATACTAGGCGATGTCGAGCTCGCTGCTCATGAGGAAGAGGTCCTCTGTGGCTCGAAACTAGTAGAGCTTTTCTCAGTATAATCACATGATTATACTGAGTTACTCACATGAGTAACTCGCGATTTTGAGTTAATTTATTTGATATGTTTAACACGTTAACCGCCGCGTAGGTCACCGGTGACCTACGTTAGCGGAGGATTTACCTTCAGCAGTTTACTGTCGGCATTCAAAGGCTTAATGTTTAATTTTAACTAATCCATGAAAAATATTTTGGAAACCAACAAATTTTGTTAATTTGTCATTTAATGCCTATAGTATTTTTTATCTTTGCAGTCTATCCAAGTAATCACGAATTACAAGAATGGTAGTACTGGACAGTTATCAGCGATTACGTGTCTGCTACTGTTTGGAGGCAGTATAGCTAGAATATTCACGTCGCTGGTGGAAACTGGAGACTTCATCATTATCGTCACATACTGTGTGTCCACTGTGGCTAACGGCGCCATAGTAGCGCAACTCTTCTGGTACTGGAATGTCGGAAAGGGAACCCAAACCAAAAATAAGAAAAAGAAGAAACATGCATAATTTTTAATATTTTAATAATTATTTATTTTTCTTATCAATGAAATGTTTATTAAAACATTTTTACCTCAGATTTGAGTTTTATTTATCTAGTGATAAAGCAAGATAAATACGATATAATATGAAGGAGTACAAAATTAATAAAACTCATTTCTCTGTATAGTGATTGTGTTATGGAATGAGCTTGATAACTGATATTGTTGAATATTGGTGGGGAATATGGTAGGTACATCAGTTTCATTATTACGATAAGAAATATACTTACCTACGTACTTTTATGTGTAATTAATAGTAATTATAGACTTATTCCACTTCGAACACCTACAAACGGCGATTGAACCTCTTATTCCACCACCTTAATAATTTGTCAAAGTAAAATAATACTATTGAAATCAGTAGCGTTGTTAACAATATCATTGTTGTTGATAATATCTGGTACATTTTCATAGAAATTAATGTCCATGTTTCTACTCTATTGTTTAGAAAACCTTTTAGGCGTTAATTCCACTCACGTTACCTGTTAGTGCAATTAACGCCTTGAGGGAGGAAAATCACCCAATGGCTTCTTCCGCCTGGGTGAGGCGAGCGGGAGTATCAGATTCTTACTGACTAAAAACCACCCTGTTCCTACTGCTACACTTCGAACCGGAGCTCCGGCAACCCGTTGCCCTCCGCGGCACCGTATCGGCATCAGCCCTATTGGGTCCCATCTGTGATGGTCTGCCCACATCTGTGGAGGTCTGTCTACCCGTGCTCGCCGTCCACAAGCCCGTTCTTACGGTGGCCGGAGATCGATCTCCGATGCGCAGTGTCTCGCGCGACCCTCACGCACCACGCCTCCTACTTACCTAGCATGACTGCTTCACAGAAGGAGGAGGAATTAACGCTTAGGTTCCTTTTTACCCGACTACGGCAAAGCAAAAGGAGGGTTATGATTTTGATAGCATAGGCTATGTACTTATGTATGTTCATCTGTTCCCTCATAACTTCTAAACTCCTTATCAGAATTCGACAAATGACATGTCATTAGAAGCGTCTTAATTTATTGGCCGCTGGTTATAGGCTATATGGGGTTTCACAAAATCTAATGTAGCGCCCTCTAGCGGGCAAAATATACAGAGTAAAAAAATAAAGTTAAGATAAATATGCCGTGTTTGATACCATTTGAAAGCGCTTTACTTGTACCTTTTGAATATAATATGTATATATATTACTAGCATCTGCTTGTGACTTTACCTGTATTCATGGGCTGATTGCATTATATAATTGCATAATTACTTATTAAGTAATTCACATCTTTTCGTTCACAGCTTCTTTACTATTTATTAGAATAAGACCACTGCAGTACCACTAGAAGGGCCTTGATATGCTATTGGATAAAAGCTATAAAGCTTGTCACCAAATTTAGTATTGCGCCCTCTAGCGGACAAAAAGTTCCATGTTAAAATAAAATTAAATATACCTACCGTGTTTAGTATGGTATTACTTGAAAGAGCTTCACGAGTACTTTATGCTTGTACACAATTACAAGAAGGCTTTAATGATGTTAAATATGAGCGATAAGAGTAAAGCGCGGATAACGGGAACTGTAAATCGCTTGATTAGTTCATCAATTTAACTTTTGTTAATATAATGCGCCACAAATACACTTTAATTTAAAGTCTTTAACACCAAAATAAAACAGTGCTTAGATTGGAATACATAATCATTAAAACACGAGTGGTCGCAAGTGTGATTATCGAGGATCTCTCAGGATCGATTCCCGGGTCAGACCAAGGTTTATTTGGGTTTTTCGAAAATGTCTTAGAAATAATAGCAGAGTTTGGATTAGGTTCGACTCATAAGGATAACAACATGAAAAGCAGAAGCAATATTGAATACGTGCACTGCCCACGTCGTCGAGGAAGACTGAATATGATGGTATCCGTCGCGCGTGTATGCAACACGAGAATATATTTAAAGATTCGTACGTGGTGGTGCTATAATCAGGTTGTGGTCTAAGGGCTCGTACACACAACTGCGATGCGAATTCGCAACGCAAAAAATTACGATGCGAATTGCTGCGATGTGATTTCGTGCGACAAGGCGTCTCTCAGGGTGACCATTCCTTCGACTACTAATCGTATTTGAATTGAAATCTAGGTATGTAAGGGTAATATGGATCGTAAAGAGAAGAGTGCAATTCTGTTATTGCATAGGGGATACAGGAAAGATTTTGATGCACAATGCGAATCAATTCGCAAATTCTTGTGATGCGTAAAGGGATCTCCAGGAGCTCGCACATTTTTGCGATGTGACGGCGCATCGCAGTTTTGTGTACGAGCCCTAAAACGAAGCAATGGAAAAGGGCTAGTATAGTTCATAGTAGGTATCCCTTGCCTATCTCTATTTAACCTGTTTTGCTCTTACTTATTGTTTGCCTATGAGACAGATGTGCGTGAAATTCATTGCACGTGTGCAAGTCCAGTGGGATTTATAAATAAAACAACATAATACATTGAAAGTCACTTTATAGAATTAGTTATACCAATTACAAATAAAAGATTTTTTATTATAGTGACTGAAAATGCTATATCATTCCATCAAACTTTGGAATGATCTGTTTACCAAGTGGAAATTGGAGTTACAATTAGAAATCCAAACATTAATGCGGTATTTAATTGCAAAGCATTTAGTAAGCTGTATTTTATAAGAAAACATAAATGCGTAACCGGTATTCTAATCTACGTACATTCACGAAAAACAGAAAAGGAATACATTTATATTGTACTCTATACCTATATTTACAACTAATCATAACTAGAATACATTTTGTAATAAAAATCGACCGTGAATAACTGATAGTATGTGTAGTTTTGTCAGAACATAGAACCCTACAAATAGGATTAGAGCAGATAGTGAGATAAAATAAGATAACCATGTGCACCTGTGCTCTAATAAGGTTATCATTCTAGAATAGAGAATAAGGGTTAAAATTCAATTTGTTGGTAGATCAGTTAATTCACAGTCAATGCGTACGTCGGTAAGGTGATTCGCACCAAAACAAAATTTAGAACATAACCGTAAAACTAGCACTCTGTGGCAAAACCAAACTCATGTGATTTTATTCTTTGGGGGCTGGTTCGGCGGGTTGCTTCTCCTCGGGATGGGCGTTTCTCTCGGGCTCGTTTCCATCAGCCCACTTTCCGTCGTATTCTTTCCTATCCACGTATCTTTCTTCTTCATATTCACCCTCGCTGCGATGGCTATCGCGTTCAGAGTAACGGGAGTAGCTGTTAAAAGTAATATAAAGTTAGTAAATGTCTGACTAAATAATAATTGAAATAACTATGCAAAACTTTTATTCATATTGTGCTCACCTGTCCCTATCTTTGTCTCGTCGTTCTGGGCTGTAAGACCTGGACCTGCGTGGTCTTTCGGGACTACGTGATCTTGAATAACGACCACCCCTGCGATCTCTAAAGTCACGGAAACCACCACCCCTGCAAAAAAATGTATTAACATTATGTTTTATACAATTTTGAAAACAAAAAATCACCTTTATCACGACTTTATTTTATGTTATAAAATAAATATAAGGGTTAGTAAACAGCTGAAGTATTACCTAAAGGGTCTGCCACGGCCACCACCGCCTCGGCGTGGCCTGAAAGGTCGTCCTCCTCTAGAGCGGTTGTCACGCCATTCTTGTTGGAACCGACGTCCATCATCTCGGCGGAAATCTCCACCGCCGCCGCGGCCGCGGCCTCGTCCGCCACCCCCGCCGTTGTACGTGTGGAAGCGAGGTCGGTAGTATGTGCCACGCTCATACCCCCCGCGACCTCGCCAGTTCCCGCGACGCACGAAACGACGGAACCTACAGTGGATCCATTATTAAAATATGTTGCATTCATATAATACAAAAATTCATGCAAATTATTGTAATAGCTATTGTTTATTAGTCAGCAGTCATCATGCCGTGAGAGGGTCTAGGGGTCTAAAAACTGTGTTAGCCAATTAATATAAGTTAGCTTATATGTTATTCTATTACAAGGCAGAATAGCATTTACATAACAGTATATACAATAAGACAACTGAAAAATGAAGCATAAAATTACAGGGATAAAATAAAACACACAACAGCAAAAATACCTTGAGCCAGACCGTGATCGAGATCTGCTGCGAGAGTAGTAGGAGCGGCTAGCGTCGGACCGAGAGCGGGAGCGAGGCGAGCCCGAGCGACGGCGCCGTGAAGCCACGGAGCCACTCGCACTCGACGCAGACCGCGAGCGAGACCGAGACCGGGAACGGTATTTACGTGGTCGCGACCTTAACAAATAGCGAGCACATACTAAATCATGTACCACAAACATTCGAAAAACGTTGATCATAAGATGCATGATGTTCAAATCATGCTGCAATATGTATGATATCCAATCCATATTTTACCAATTGTTAGGTTTGATTTCTTAGTTGAAGTTAATAAATTTATTAAGAAGCTACGTTATGTAAGCCTCAGAAAAATATAAAACGTGTCCCACCTGCTCCTAGAACGTTTAGATCTTCTATCGTCATCAGAGGAGTTAGATGAATGCCTTCTTGGTGAAGGCGGTGAGCGTGGTCGGCGTCCTGAAGGGGACGGTGGTTTGATGCGCGTTACAAATTGTTCTGGTCGTCCATCACCAACAGATACGGGAGTTTCACCCTCTTGAGCAAGTCGGAAGGAACCGAACTTGTCTAGGACTATGTTGCCCTTACGGACCTGAAACAGTGATTGTATTTGTTATATTTTAGATGAATACAATAAAAAGCTAAATGGCAATGATGACATTTTTTTTTTTCAAATTATAAGGGAGGAGGTATAAGCATAGATAGTAATAGACTCGTACATGTTCACTTACTGGATGTGAGGGCTCGGTACCGGGCGGGTCGGGCTCTCGCTTGTTCGGTGGTGGCGCTGACGGCAATGGAGGCGGTTCCTTCATTGCCATCGCCCTACGTACCGATACATTCTTATCCCCACTTGAAGGAGAAGGCTGAATCAAATTAATAATAACATTAGTAAAAAAAACCTGAGTTATAGTTTGAGATAAAAAGACTTAGGGCCTGTTTCACAATATCTGGTTAGCCGCTATCTACCAGATAAATTCGAATTAATCACGTAATGTATATGAACTATCTGTCACATAAGTTTATCAGGTACTTATATGAAGGCGGTGAAACCGGGGCTAAGTATATAAATTTTATTTGTATTTATAATGTTGCTTATCTTACCTTATTATTTTCTTGTGAATCATCTGAGCTGTCTTCAAATGCGTAGTGTTCTTTATAACCCTTTGGCACCGGTGTTTCCTTCTTCTTGACCCTGTAATATTTATTCATTTTAAAGCTTATTGCTTAGTTTTGCATGCACTTGTATACAACATTTATAGTCAATGAGAGATAATTAATTTCTGTATGTACGATATTTACTAGGGTTTGAAAAAAAAATTAAGTACAGTAAATGTGGAAAGAAAACGTGGTATTTGTAAATTAATTATCTCGTGCTAATTGTAACAGTCAAATAAAAAGGAGGCCGGATTTATAGCCTGTTATAAAATAAAATAATTTTAGCATTGTTAGAAAAAAATAAAAGAAAGCGCGTGTGGTTTTTAAAGTGGATACGGGGCCTGCACTACTCGACACGTGCACGCTTGTGACAGTGAAGTAGGTGAGGGTGGCGCGGCACGTACGTGTCTTTGACCGCGCTCATGGACATCTTCCACTTGGGCTTCTCAAGCGGCGGCGGCGGCGCCTGGTCTATGGGGCTGAGCGAGCCGCGCCCATCGCGCTTGTGCAGCACCTCCTTCTCCACCATTACGTGGTACGCGCTCAGCTTGGACTCCAACTCCTCGAGCCCGTGCATATCGTCTAGCATCCTGATGAATACACATTTAATAAATAAATGCTCACAACGACACATATCCATTGCAATACAACAAAGATAATTTGCTGTCACTCTTTTACACAATTTGCATAAAAGACAAAAGTTAGTGAATCAATTTAAATATTAAGTGTGTTTATAAATAGGCTATGGTGTCCAATACAGGCAAAGAGAATGTTTCTTTGATACAGTAACATAACGCATTTCGGCATTAACGGCTTACAGACGAAGCGTAAGTGACTGCATACCCAGAATTACCATGAGCAGAAATTATAGTTTTGATTATAAATATTAATTGTTATTTTATACGCATTTTGCAGTTCGGTTTGCACAGTTAATATTTATTAATTTATTATGAGTATTACAGGCATCCTTTATTTGACTTATACAATTAGCGGCGGCATTAGACTAACATGTTGCTATTGTCTTATTTCCAACTATGAATACTAATGATATGTGAGTTGTTACCTCTTATCGTGTTTTCTATCATATTCGCCGTCAGAGCTGAGGTCTCGCTTCTTACTCTTCAATTCCTTTCTGCAACATTAATTAATGAACTTATTAGTTTGAGACTACTACTAGCTAGGGCAGCATAAGGAATCTTTTGGTTTTGTTTAAATTTTTTCCAGAAGATACTCAAAGTAAGACTTTCTAAAATTATATTACGGGAGTGTTTTGTTATAGTTTCAAAGGTTCTTCTAGTGAAAATGGATGAGTGACATACCTGATAGCGTCTCTCAGTTTCTTGTCGCCGATGCTGTCGAGATCGCGTAGGCTGTATTCGTTGTTGGCTGCAGCGCGCGCTAACTTCGCTTTTCTCTTTTCTTCCCTCTCCTGTTCCTTGCGCTTTCTCTTAGACTCCTTTTTCTTCTTCCTATAAAAGATTTGTAATTTATTGCAATTAGTTCTAGTCTCAAGTAGTAGTTGATAATGTAAATGAGCGGTGTTGTTCAGCAGTGAACATTATACAGTTAATGATGAATGTAAATAATACATGATACATTATTATTCTATTAGTTATTCAGTGATGACACAATTAAATTATAAATTAAATAATAGTGCCAAAATTATAAACAGTTAGTATTATCTTGAGGTTGAGCAAAGTATATTTTGAGGCAAAAAAATTTTAAGCAAAAATAAAAGCTTTTCATCATTCTAATTTACAGTGAAGCTGGTAACTTTGCTCACCCCAAACAGAACAGATCAGTAAAGGGTACCGACTTGTCTTTCTTCTTCTTTTTCTTCTTGTCGCGGTCAGCGCCAGGCTGCGGCTGCTGCCCCAGTTCCTGCATCTTGCGGTTGCGCTTGTACTGCGCAGTTTCTTCTAAGAAATTGCGCACCTTGTCTTCATAATCTGAATCCTCTTTGGTCATTTCTAAGAACTTGCGCACCTGTGAATTCATTGTATGTCTTTTTATCTTCTGTAGTCTCTTACAAGAGCAAATTCACGCTATTTATTTTTATTACAAAAACAATATCGCATAGACATTCTAATGAAAATCTTACCTTGAGTTCATAATCAATATCTGCCTGAGATCTCTGTGGCTCAGGATTGACTTCTTCGACAGGCGGTGGCGGGGGTTGGTAGCCGTACGGGTGGTTGAACTGAGAGTTGTGAGTGCGAGACCCGGCCTCGGGCGCACCGAGCATCTCCATGCGCTTACTCAATGGAGACAAGGAGCGCTGGCGTTTGCTGTTAGGCTGAGACCGACGCTTCTTCTTGCGATTAGGACCTTCGGAATCTGCGAAGAACCATTTTATTGCATACTATTAATTACTGTTCCATTTCCAACTTGTAAAGCATGCATACAAGTCATTTTTAGACTTCTATCATACACATTCAGACAAATTTGATGAAAATTGTCCTGTTAGTTTGTGAAAATCTAAGGTTAAGTAGAAGACACTATTTACAATAGATACTTTAGCTTTAGTGTAAGTGCATGGCATGGACCTTGACAGAGTATATTAATGAAAAGATAATTTGAGTGCTGCTGGACCACTGTAAAGTTTAAGATCCCGTGGCCAGATTGCAAAAGCAGCTTTAGTCATGCATTTTTTATAAATTTATAGATATGTCCTACCCAATTGTCCACTCAGTCGACAGCTTGGCTGAGTGTCTCAGTTGACAACCCTTTGGTTGCAGATACAATATCCAAACAGTACCAAATGTTTTGTAGGATATATACTATCGAAATAGGTTTATAACTATTAATTTCTCTTCAGTCAATAAATGAGAATTCAAAAATTTATTTAAAACATTACCACTTGTTTCAGATGAAGAGGACGAGGAGTCTGATGATGAACTGGAGCTCGACGAGTCAGATGACGATGATGAAGAACTGCTCGACCGCTTCTTCTTACCCTTGCCGCGCTTCTTTTTCTTCTTCTTATCTTTCTTATCAGTCAAATTCAATAATTGCTTCAATGTCTCTTTCATCTCGTACGACTTTGCGCCTGTCAATCCAGGAAGTAACAACTCTGCTGGTTCAATTAACGGCTTGGTAGTAGATGTCTTGCTCTTCAGGAAATCGAGAGAATTTTGCGCCTCTTCATGGAAAGGTATTATGGCTAAACAATCTTCATACGCTTTCTGTGCTTCAGTGATCTTGTTTTCGTCCTCGTAGCTACGTCCTAATGCGACGAGTGTCTCTCCTAGATACTTTCTAGCATTTGCATGGTTGGGATTCAGTTTCAAGGATGTTTCAAAATCTTCAATAGCCTTTTTAAATGTTCCACTGTTGGCATAAAGTGCTCCCCTTGCAACTAATCCCTCGACATTTCTTGGATCGATGCTCAATGCTTTATTAAGACACTGGAAAGCTTCAGAGTGACGGCCGGCTTTAAAATGTTCTATACCTTCAGCAACTGAACGGAATGCCCACTTGCTGGCTTGTGCTTGACGCAGTTCATCTGCATATTCTGTTGGTACAAACCCTCCCCTGTGACAAAAAAGTGTTATCATTAAAATATATTCCATTCCATTATGCATAGAAAAAATTTAAGCTTTCGTTATTCAACTTACCTCAAAGATGGAAAATTGGTGCAGTGCATGTTGGAGATTCCGAGCAGTTCAGAAAGATATTGGACGCAGTTGGGGTTATTGAAGCCAGGACTCTTCTCCAATATGGCTTCATAACTCTCTCCCTTCATATCCACTGTTTTCCTGCAGGAAATTTATAAGAGTAAGTAAAGTGGAAAAGAGTTAAAGTAATTAATTGTCCTTTTACAATGGAGTACTTTCACTGAGATGAGATAAATTTCTTCAAAGAAGGTTTTTTTATATAGTTTCAAGCATTTAATTCCTAAAGTGTTTGCTTAGTGTCACACATACGTTTATCCTCACCTGTTCCAATGTAGCTGTTCAAAAAATGTTATGTTACTTGTATTTTATTTCTTTCACACATAAATATAACATCATAGATTAGGTGATGCCGCCTCGACAATGTGACATTAATATTACCGGGACATTCACTAAGGTCACAACATAATTCAGTAGGTGTGACACGTCTTGACAAATCCTCGCTATACCTAGAAAAGAACACCCTAAAATAATACAGGGAGTGTACATCCACTGGCGTGGAAGGTATGTCGGACACAACGATGTGAACTGCCACGCTATCTTGTAACTATTTAGTCATCTCGCAGAGCCTCACGTCAATCTGCTAAATTGATAAGCGCCGGGAGCGAGTCCTTTATAATAATAAATAACTCCAACATCCAATAAATGTTCATTATAAAAGTCCAATCAATACGTCTCAGATAATGCTGGAATGTTAAACATTAGCTTTAATACAGAATAACATGTTGCTTTTTAGATATAAGATTGAAGTGACCCTAAAATAATATTTGTACTGACCTTTTCCATAATATGTCAAAAAATAAAAGATGTGTAAATAATTTGAATATTTTGAAAACTCCTCAACATATATGTGCAGGAATCTCGTTGAAATATATATTATAAACATCCTTCAAGAATCCCAAGGTTTGTTCACATCAGATCAAACTTTGAATAAATATCATGCAATCTTTTTCACAAGTTGGTGAACAGTGTGACTTTGTACTGAAAAGTGATCATAAACCAGTGAAAACATACATCCAACACTCCTGCTGATACACTTACACATATACCTACCAAGTGTGTACATATTTTATTCAAATAGCTGAGTGACAGTTGACAAACACAATCTGTTATTTTTGAATGAGTATCTAAAAACCAGAGGTATTCTTGTATTCTTTCCACATACTTAGAACTCAATTTACATGTGATAATGTTCCATTTTCTTGATATCCCGTTAGTGTATTTTTTGTTTGTTCCTTTTCTATGATTTTTCAGTTGATAACTTTCAAATCTCTTGAGTCTTAACATTCTGCCATGTTCATAAACATCTTCCAAGAAATTATTCCTTTTGTCCAATAAATAAAAAAAATACCACTGTTTTGTAGTCTCAACAAACAACTGAACTACAAATAAATACATGAAAACACTATGTTTGTGTAAAGCAAAACTTGAAACCTGTAAAATAGTGTAGGGACAATGTGATTACTCAGTAGTGTGTTATTGAGTCTGTACGTACTTGTAGATGAGTGGGAAGTCGTCAGTGGTGAGTAGGCCCAGTGGTGGCTTAGGCGGAGGGTCATCCGGGCCTCGCGTCACACCCTTCATGCCGCACACCATTTTGTCGGTGTCGGGGATAACTTCTATCACTTCACAGCATACAGTGTCATTCATCAGGTAGTTTCTTGATACGTTTTTCTTGTCCACAGCAGGTATGATATTTGTAACTGGTAAAAATGCCTAAGACAAAAAATACACATTAATTTACAAAGCCACTACAAAAGAATGTCTTTGAACTACAAAAACTCGTCATTCAATGACTTTGAGTAACAGTAACACCCACATGAATACCAAAAGCAGACTGTAATGGACTCACATTCGAGTTTCTATTTTGTATGTGTGGGTGGTAGCTTTCATCATTGCTATGTGCTTATATGGACTGAGTCAGACTGACCATATTATATTGCCATTTTAAGTTAAAACGAACTGTTAGTCTTATGGTCATTTGAGCATCAAAAATAGCAGTGTGATCACACACAAATATCATGACTATGAAAAACCACCTTTATCATGATATTTTCTGCTTTATCTGAATACAAATAAATGTCATAATATTGTGCAATACCTTTACATTGATGTCCGCTACATATCTTGATGTTGGTCCAGCAGTGCATAGGACCTTTAACATCATACCAGATGTAGTCCTGTTGATGACTGCTCCTATTATAAGTTCTCCTGTCTTCACATTCTGGAATTAAGCAAAGTAAAATTAAAAACCATGTATTACAAGCATTGTTTAATAACTCCTTAGCTGAGATATTAACTCGTCGAGTACCGGTTTTATAGACACAATTAAAGAACAATAGGTCGCGGTCACCGGTGACCGCTTGGTGTTTGACGGATTAATCTAATTAATTAGTCAATCAATTATAGTGATAAGTCATTAATAAATTGCATTGTTTTACAATCCTGGTATCAGTTTTATTTCCAATGACTTGATTTCTCTTATGATATTGCAGTTGTAACATAATTTTGATAGCAATGAGTTACTACAATAACAATCAATCAAAGTTATCAATGACAATTATTATACCTTTACACTTGGAGATGAGAAATTAGCCATTTAATTAAATTAAGTCAAGGCTATTAGCAGATGTTAATTATATCCCATTCCACGCCCTTGATATTTAATTCAATACAATATCTTTGTAGTATACTTACATCAAAGAAATGTCTCAATCTTGCCAACTTGTCAACACTTAAAAATGTTTCAAAAGGCGGCATCAGTGCATATAGATCTGAAATAAAAATGTTGAAATATGTTAACACAGAATAATCATTTTAATATGCATAGGAACAGCTGAAATTATTAGTATTCTTATTCATTAAAGAGTTGAATTAAACATAGTGATTGTTAGAATGTAAATTATATTAAAGTAATGAGAATAATTTTATTATCTTTCAAGGCCACCATCAACTATGACAAACAACATTCTTATATTAAGTTTCTCACATTACTTAGGCAATAAAGTTATTTTAATACAACTTAAGTACCATTAATATCTTTTACAGACAGTTATCAGAATACTGAAACGCTACTCAATTTTAAGTCACGCTTAAACATAGTTCTGTTCTACAAATTGTTTGTAAAATGACAGAGATGGCATGTTATTTTAAGCATGACTTAAAATTGAGTAACATTTCAGTATTCCGGCAATATCAGTGTTGAAGATATTGATTGGAGATGGAATTGGAATCCAAACATTGTTATGCTACTATGGCAACTCCACTACATTTCCAAAATCCAGGATACGAATAATTTATGCATTGCAGCGACTTATCAAAAATTTGAAGATAATATTTAAAACTCACTGTCTTCCGGTACAGGCGCGTCAGTTCCAAGGCTAGATGATGATGGGGTTTCTTCCATTATTGAAGTATCAAACAAAGCGTTAGCCTCTTTGGCAATAAACTGATGTAGTTTCAAACGTTTTCCTCGATCTTGAAACGTCAAGTGCTTGTGCCTCGACTGATATACAGCGAAATCCAAACCGCCCACGCCAATTTTTGACAAGTCGTCTTCTCCTCTTTCTGCTTCCCATGTTTTTTGTAGTTGCTGTCCATGATAATTTATGGACTGCGTCACTAAGGACGCATCCAATGACGTGTCCATATTACAGTGCTGTAAAAAATTAATAGAAAATTGGTACACTTGATTGGTATCAGATATTTGAAATAATCTCAAAATTCAATGAAAGTGAGAGTTACAGAAAGCCGATCGTCGCCATTTTGGCAAATTATTCCCACAGAATAATTTATGATTTATTAGTGTTATTGTTGATTTGAGTACTGAAACTGATGCTCACCTTGACAAACTCAATGTCTAGTTGTATTTTGTGTGCAAATCAGCGAAATATATTTACTTTTTTTTGAAATAAGGAAGGCACACATTCGTGAACCAAATCCACACTCGTGTGAAATGGCGACGAATGAGTGAATGAATGAAAATTGAACTATTTATTTACAAGAAATGAATGAAATGAACGAGTAATGCAGTAATAATTTTGAATACAAGGCTTTTTGCTTAATATTTATTTCTTATGGTTCGCAACATTATCAATAATTGATCTATTGGTTACTTTGTAATATTGGTACTAAATGGTACTGGAGTTGGAGTCATACTGGAGCTGTATAGGAAAATAATTGTTGTGGGGAGGTAAGGCATATGAATGCTTATCTGTATTTTATTTTATATTGTGTTATAATAAGTAAATGTCTTATTGTTTTATACTAGCTTTTACCCGCGGCTTCGTTCGCGTCACACAAGGATAAAAATACACACAACCAATACACACAGCGCCATCAATACCAGTAAAGTATTGGTATTATAGATGGCGTTTTCCCTCGGGAATATCAATTTTTCGGGATAAAAAAAAATTTCCTAGGAAGGGGGTGTGTCAACTTTTTTTTAAGAAAAAAAAGCCTGGCGTGTTACTGGGGATCTTCTATCTGTGTTATTTGCGTACAAACTTTACTTGCGAGTTGTACGACTTGTGACGTCATCAGTAACATTACGCTACGACCAATAGGAGCCAAACAGCAGGTAAAATCATGGAAGTAGCTAGTATGTAATGTGGATTCAACACAGCATTAAACTATGAGAAAATATGTAATAAAAACTACAAAAACTCTATGTACAGATAAATAAAATTGGAGTGTCTGTTTGCAATGCGCAACGATGCACATACCCAAACAATATTTTTACAATGTTTGTCTATCTATTTGTACTGGCTAATCTCTGGAATGGCTTTATCGATTTTGACGAGGCTTATGCGCAGTTAGCTGATGTAAGGAGTAACATAGGCTACTTGGTGAAACAAAAAAATTTAAAGTGTCCTAAAATTCATATTCTACGCAGACAAAGTCGCGGGCAACAGCTAGTAGGTAAATGTATAGCAAGTTTACATATTTATGTTTATAAACTTATGCCAAGTTATTCGGACAGAAAGGCGCGCACGAATTTAAATTGTAACCAACATAAAATAGTTTTTTAAGTGGTTTATATGAACACAAGTTAAATCTTTGTTTTCAGGCTATGAAAACAAAGATTATTCCGTGCGGGAATGGAACCCGCAACACGTCGCGCAGCAACCGGTGGTAGTAATCACTGCGCTAACCCTGTAGCTTGCAGAGGTAAGTCATCTCTTTGAGGAATGGTTTGAGTGACGTTACGGCGTCCTCACCTACTGCTTGCCGCAGGTGCTTACCGCACATGGGAGCTTCGGAAGGTACCTGTGTCTGATAGAGCGGGAGGAAACACCCGGGTGTCATCACTGCTAGGCCCGCCCTGAGGACATGGTGGAACCCACGTCCTGCATGGGCACGGCTATACCGTCAAGGATGTGATCGGCGACGGCGACCTCTCGCGTCCGGACCCCAGAAAGGGATGCCGTCTTCTCTTTTGGCGAAGCAGTCAGCTAAGGAGGAGACGAGACGCGTGAGGCAGCGGAGCGTTGCATCCTCACAACCCAGCCGTCGCGAAGGAAACTCCGGGCGTCGGGAATCGCGGGCTGATCTACGGTCACCGTAAACGTGGGCCTGCGGACGGCGAGCAAGGTCGTGAGTCAGTAAGAATCTGACACTCCTTTCCGCTTCACCCAGGTAGGAGAAACCATTCGATGATCATCTCTCCTTAAAAAAAACCGTGCAGCATAACAGCTACGAGACTTTTAACTTCTAGAGTCACTTAAGGTAGGTAAGTGCAACAGGCAAGAAATAATTATGATATAGGTGTTATGGAGAATGGAATTATTAAAAAAACTTAATATTTATTTAAGTATCGAATCGAGATATAAAAATGAAGTATATACCGCACAACTTGATAAACCAGTACCTAATTAATCTATCTGTTCATGTTTAACGGGAAAGAAGAAAGTTCATTTTAAAAAAAGACTTATGACCGGTGATTTTGTAAACACTTCATCTAGTTAAAATCAAAATCAATACAAAACACGAACAAAAGCTCAGAATCCTTTCTGAAACGAAAAATCAATCGCATCTTAAACATATTAGATACTTAGTTATTACCATAACGCATACTTTTTCTCAAAGGATATAACACAATGTAGCCTCCTACTAATATTTTATAATAATGTAGATATACCGGCCATATCTTGCATACTTCAAAGCGGCCATAAAGCGTCATTGGGAAGGTCTCACTTCTATAGAGAGGCGAATACAAAAGACGAAAAGAGGGCTAGGTAATGGCAGACACAATGGAATACTGTTTGGACTAGGAGGCGGCCCGCCCTCCCTAACTCCGTACAATGGTCCACCGCGAAACTTATTTTATTCCTCCACACTTATTTATTTTTTGTACCTATCTACTTTCAAGTTTTACACGTGAATGCTTACGATTGTGTGCCGGCCATTGTTGTAAAAATAGATTTTAAATGAATCATTTTGTTGTCTTTTATATGGTTTCTTTTGCTTTGAATATAATAATATGACAATTTTAAATATTGATTTGTATGTTAAATTCGAATTTATTGTGTCTGTTTTCAGCGCAGTGAAGGTGACATTACAGGCAAATACTTAACAATACGAGCTCGGTTTTCCGATTATGAAAAAATTTAAAAACAAAATTTGTCTACAAGAAAATTTTCATATTGTAGAGGTAATATTAAATATGACAATTAAGTTTGTGTAACTTATGGATATGAGACATGATAAAAATACTAAAATCATTAAATATGTATTAATAAGTAAATCAATCGTCGCTTCTCAGTAGACTACGCTTACAGCACGTGCTACGAAGTGCTACGCGGCGGCTACAGGCTACAACGATCCACTTGTTTGACTATCGTCTGAACTGCAGGCGGGAAACAGTGACCTCCTGAATAAAGGTTTCATTTTGGGTTAAAAATGAAACACTATTACGTTCGTTTTTGTTTTCAATTTGCGTACACGGCAACGTTAGTTACTATAACGCCAATCAAAGTTATGCCTCCATCACAGCCTCCATTCAGCACGAACAAAACCACGCTCCAACGACCTTTTAACAATCAACAAGGCCGTGTGCACAAAATGAAAGATCAATTCATACAGAAAACTACTGTTTCCATTAATATCAGTTATTTTGACACGCAATACACGGCGGCCACATTGTGGATGCTACCAAAATATTCGTAATGGAATCTTTTTGGTTCGTAATAAGGTGGTTTATGATTTGGCAATTATGGTATTGAGTGAACGATTAGTGGTTGTGTGTGTGTATGCAAGGTGTATTGTGCAGGTTCACACAATACGCGGCGCGGCTTTGTGTCTCGCGTTCGCGCCATTGTAGTCGGACATATTACCCAACGTTTCCACATTGTATCTGCTCCTGCTGTCTCTGGCTTCTTCCTTTGATGGGACATATCTTATTTGTCGTACGCACTATTGTGTTACACAGTTACTATTCGTGTTTTTTGTGTTCAAAGATTCTTATAAGAATGCTATTGTTATTGGTTTCTATACATTCGGTTTCCAGTAGGTGTTGACAATAAACTAAGTTCTTGAAATATATTTTTGTTTGCTTCTTCTTGCATAACTCATAAAATTTTCTTAGAAACTTTCTTGTGAAGGCGAGATATTGGAAATAGAGGTAATAGTTTGCCTACTTACTTAAGTGTTGGCATTTTTCTTTTCTTATTGGAATACCTTTATAATATATTTACACATACTAAAAACTCTACGTTGCGTTGATTGAAAAGATTAAAAAAAAATCGGTAATAAAAAGCGAACTCCTACTCTCCCTGAGTGTATAAACAGTTTTAACTAAAGTCAATGTATTGTAAACATTTAATTATGTCGTAAGAGGATGCATTATGCAAGGGTATGCGAAAGGGTGAATGTTGACCACAGTTCCCGTGGATGCGCGAGCACGGTGCGCGGGCTTGAATAATGTAGAGTATTGTAGAGCCAGGCATTCACCGGCCGGCTCGCAGTCTGTGCCCGGCTCCCTTCACATGCGTTGGTCTCGGCGCTGCTACCGATATTGTCCGAACGAACTTTTTCGTAAACTTATTTTCCCGCCACCATCGTTTTTTGAATTTTCTTCATTGATTTCGGGGTGTTCGTGATTGTTGTGTGCCAGAATATTTTTTTGTGTGAATTTTATGTGGATGCGTGCTATGTGTTGTGCCTTTATTGGGAATTTATTGGAGTAACCTGCCACTCTTTTGGATTTTGCGGTAAGTTTTATATTTAAGAGTAATCAGAATCCAATTAGAATAATTTTCCATTATAATTACATAGTCCTATTGCCTTCTTATTTTCAGAAAGATTAAAAGTATTTCTAACAGATTTCCTTTAAATTCATTCTATTCTCGTTCAATAACCAGTCACGATGTTTAATTAGTGCATAATTTTTATATTTAATAGGACAGTGGTAAGCGATGATGACAGTTGGTTAGGGTAGTTTTTTATTAGCAGATAATTATAGTGGTACGTGATTTGTTATAATATCACATTAACAAACAATACTCTACATAAATAGGTATAGTCCTCTTTTAATCCCTCGAAGATGCAGTTTCTACATTTTTAATCTTTACATTTCAGACCTTGATCAGCATCGGGTACAAGAGTGAATAATAACAATTAATTAAAACCTTTTCAATTGGCATTAACATA